AGCCAGCTAGCCTGGATTGCTAGGTCGAGCAGTAATGTGTCGGCTCGCACTAGGATTATGAATAAACCGAATTCTTTCTTATCTATTACTACTTACGTTTATTAGTTCCATCCACTTACAATCCACACCATTCCAATGCAATTCCACTTTAATTTACAGTTCTAACATGGAATGTCATTTTTTTTATGTATAATTGAAGGCAGATAAGCTGACAGAATGACGGAAATGGGCAATCTTTGTCAATTATATTTTTTAATTGAAATTGAATAATGTAGTAAGTAATAGCTATATTGCTCTCATAGTATTAATACATTACAAAAATCATAACAAAATTAATACTAGAGACTGCAGTAGGCTCGCCCTCTCTAGAGCATGTCATGGATTACGTTTACTATGAGTTAACTGGTTAACAGTGAAATGTCAGAAAACCACAGATTATATATTTCGTAAAATATTCCCAATCTTGAAACATGTGGCGCTGTATTAAACCCCTATTATCTTTTATTACGTCATTACATTACACTGTAAATCTAAAGTTCAGCTGGGCGGTTACACTGTGTTTACACAACTGAATTTCACAATCTGTGACTTTTATTAGCGTGAAAGCAGTTACACTTGATACAATGTATTTAACACTTTAACTACTGAGAACTAGGGGGGCAGAGGTTTATTAGTGACTAGCTGACCCGCGCCAATTCGTCTGCGTCACAATTACCCCGTTTTTGCAACATTTCTCATTACAACTCGGCTCCTATTGGTCGTAGCGTGATGTTATATAGCTTAAAGCCTTTCTCGATAAATGTGCAGTCGTCTTATAAGAGAATTTTCCAAATTGGATCGGTTTAGTACTGGTGATGTCCCCAGAACATCCAAACTCAAAAATCAAAAAGGGGTACACCCTTTATAATGACATTATAAAGTCACATATCTGGTCATATCGACCTTCACATGCTGAAACTGGAAACCATCGTGGTTAATTCCTGATGAATTCTAAACATGGTCTTTTCACATAATTTTGTTAGAGAGTGTTGTTTACACCAATATAGTAAGCTTTTTATTTAAAAGTTTATGTTTGTTGTTATTCCAATCGGTTTACAAACAGAAAGATTATACAGTTACAAAGTTGCGGGCTCAGTTAGTAAATAATGTATCAGCGCTGGTCACACTCTCGCACCATTTATGGGGACATTGTGCGATCCCATGGGGCGCTGTCGGTGCTACGCTTCCGGCCTTTGTACGCGGTCGCTGCCTCGTAAATAGCTGATGATGACGGCGAACGTACTCTGGTGTGTACACGGATTTATTATCACACCACTTTCTATGATTACAGTATAGTACTACAAAAACGACTATGAATTTCTGAAACTGTTGTATGAAATGTGAGTGGTTTCAGAGAATAAATATGAGGTCAGTAGATAGATTTCGTTTTCTGTGATTAAAAGACTACAGTTGCTCTGAATTTCTGAATCACTGGTATGAAATATTAGCTCTGCCCACTAAAGTATCACCCGCGTGAAATTTATAGCCATTATTCTGATGTATAAGGTATATCATTGTATAGTTAAAATCTATTAAGTTTTTGCGTGAAAGAGTAATAAACGTCCATCTATCCATCCACCCATTCACACTCGGAAACTCTCACGTTTATAATATTAATCACATAAATAAAAACAGAGGTAGATTTAGTACAAAGCCATCTGCGTGTGTATTTCACCTATTTTTACACAAGCATGTAGTTTTGTAAAATGTGTCTAGATTTGAAAGAGTACAAAGGTATGACACTAGTCCTCCAGTTAGCATATTACGGTCATCTCGTGATGATAATGTCCGTGCTTTTCATGTATGTCACTTGCATATTTCCACTTGGTAGGTTGTGAGATTGTTACAAAAAAAATCATCAAAATAAACTTGATCGTATAAACATAACAAACATAAACAGTCAAATTAGCATTTATAACTATTATTAGGAAAGCGAGATGAATTAGTCATGTTAAATTTGATTAGCATAAGCTAACTCGTTAGTAATGAATATAGTAGCACGTGAATTATATTTAAATCCTAACGTATTTACTGTTCGTAACGTTTTAATTTGCATTTTAACTAGACATTACTAACCGGTCTCTAATAATATTTTAAAGAGACATTTGTTTTATATTTTAATATTGCCTGCGACTTTTTCTACGGATTCTAATGAAATTTGACATGAAAACAGGTCATATTTCAAGAACGGACGTAGGCTCTCTTTTGTCTATAAAAACACACGACATACCGAGTAAGCCAATAGACTATATTCCAAACAGAAATGGCAGTTTTCACATTTTTTTCTAATTACAACATACGAACAATCAGTCCATCGACTGGCACCGTTTTTGTCATTAATGTCACAATGATCCAATTCTTATTGATAACCAGACTTCCTTATGACTGAGTCAGAGTTAAAATAATACATCAAGTTTTGTCCTCGCTTCCTGTGATTCAATACCTCCCCGTAATGTGCTCGCTGCTGTTTTCGATGCATTTTTATCATCACACATTTCTTGGTAATATTACTTGCTTTTTTATACTGACTAATTCGTACACGATGCTTTGGTACCACGTTATATTAAAACAGTGTCGCATATTTTTATTTTTGTTTATTGAGATTGGATTTAGCAAGAAGTTTGTTTAATCTCGTTGATAACTGTAATAACTGTGCCCTTTTCATTTAATTTTTTGAAAAGGTGTAGAAATAATCTTTCTCGAATAATCCTACTTATATATAAGTATTTTGTAAAATATTATTCCTATGATATACCTGCATCACTGGTGCTACGTGGAATCGTAAGCAAGAAAACTCAGCTGTAGCTTTTTACAAAGAAATACATTAAAATAGTTAGGTTTTTTAAATAATACAAACTACCATACTGCAAAATGCTCTTGAAATCAGTGCAATTAATATGTTTATTTACTTGTATTTTAGTATTCATGATACCAAAGGCAAAGTACAAGTGAATTTACAAGAAGAACCTTGTAACGATTTCTACCTTTCAACCCTTAATTCCAAATGAGTAATGTACGTACTTAATTATTGGCGGTGCAAATACAATATATAAGATCGTAATATCTACACGATATATTTAAGTATTTTTGTTTAAATATAAATCTAGACGATTCGGTCATAATTTTCTACAATTATATAAATGTATGTAAGGACACGCGTATAATATATAAAAACGTCCTGTCACATAGAAGTTCTTCCTGAGTTAGTATTTAGTATGCAACAATAACTATATCACATCCGATAGTGAATATCCGTCGCTATTACGTGTTGTTCTTCATAGTAATCTTATTGCTATAAAATATGTTAGCTTGCTATCTGAAGATGTAGATAAGAATGAATTCAAAATTAAATTCAATATTAAAAAATTAACAGTTATTTATTTCGGTAACACAATTTTTACTTAATTTATATTTAGTGGTTGAAGCCTCTTTTCAAGCATAAAATGCTTGTCCTAGAAAAAATACATTATACTATTGTTGTTTTTTATTATATTTATTTAAATTTAAAATATTTTGCTTTATATTTATATATATCTTTTTTCTGACATTTCTCATTTATATTAGTGCACCCCCAAGAATCTTTCTCTGCACCACTCATGGTTGACTGGTAGATAACGCCGCGGTATTAAGTCTGCCATATGTACACATTGTTTTTGTGCATTAAAGTTAAATAAAAATAAATAATATAAATATTTCTATAAATAACTGTAACCCCACTCAACCCTATATAGCTCTATCTTATACACTTGTATGTGTTTTATATTGTTAAATTACGTGTAAAGCAGTAACTTAAAATACTTGATAATACTTACTATTAAAAAAAAGACTAGTTTTTTGCTTGTTAATAGTAAATTATTCGTTTTGAAGCAACTAATGAGGGTAGGATATTAACTACGTATCAGGGAGTTCAAATTTACAAATCTATTAACATATAAGTTAAAACTAATTTAAAGAAATAACATCAATTTCATACCAATATATATATATATCTCTCCAAAACCAGAGCCATTGTGGCAGTATAAAATTATCCAAAGGCAATGAAATTAAAATTAGACCAAAGTTGTTAAAGAAAGTACTTATCCCAAAAACGGATCAAGTTTCTCCGAATTACCGTTTCCAGTTTTGTCGGATTAAAAGTTGTAAAATTGTAATTATGATTTCATTTCCCTTGAATTAACAATCAAACGCTCCGAACGAAATTTACGGTTTGTTACTGACAGTTACATTTGTCACTGTTGTTTGCGGCTTTGTTTTTCAAAAATATTTAAAAACAAAGTTAATACTTTGTTATCTAGTTAGTTAGGATAAAAATTTTAAAAGTAAATAGTAATTTAAAGTTATATATTTTTAATTCAAGTTATATGCTATGTTAGATGCTATTAAATTAACAAAATATAAAATATATTTATAATTAAAAACTTTATACTATTATATAAAAATTAACTTCTTTTTTCTCAAATTTATATTAAAATAACCCTATAAATTCAAACTTATTTATAAATTTTATGTATCAGTGAAGTACATAAAATTCACCAAATTTTTTTAAACATTATTATTTAATATTTGTAATGCGATTAGTCCTAAATCATTGTATAATTATTATTTTTTAAGTCTAACTTTAATGCTCATTGATATTTCAATTATAGAATGGACTCTCAACATATTACAGAATTGAGGTGACATTTATATTGCTATCACGTCACGTATTTTCGCAATGTACGTTATCTTCATTTGAATCACTCCTATATTCATTTTATCTTTAACTAGAATTTGATATAGACGTGATTTATTTAGTTGAAGAAGTGCAGATGGATTTACGCTCTTTCCGCTTCATTCAGTCTGTCCATTGTCATTGGACATAACACACGTCTTAAAAAATACATATACTATAGTGTATACCTGTCTAGCTATTGAGGATATAACTGATTAATACGTTAATTGATTATTATTTTAATTTATAGCTGCGATAAATTCCGAGTGTAGTTTAAGTGAAGTGAATTTTAATGTGTCTCAAAAATGGTAATGGAGTCGGTTCAGCAGAACGGGCGGTTTTGGCCGTTATCGCCACGCCTTTGGCGGAGAAGCAACGAATATTCCAAAGTGGTTTTCGAACCTAGGAGACCACCGACGTCACCAATCGAAATACGAAAACACGACAGATTCGATACCCCAGATTTGCTGAGAAGAAATTTCGTGAAAGAAAGACTAGACCATTTAAACCTCGAAGATAGATATTACAAGGAGGATCATAAGAATAGATGGAGTGTGGACTCTAAGAAGCCACCGTTGAAAGACGAAGGTAGGAAAAAGACAGAAGATCTGGTCAAGTTAAGAGTGAAAAAACATAGACAACCAAGACCGAATAGTCTACAGTTATTGTTGTGTCCGTCCAGTTCTGGACATTACACCAGCAACACCTGGAGATATACCAGAGTGCGATCAAAGAGGTTCGTATTTTGTATTATTTCTCTCGTTACTCAGTGTTCAGTCAAATATCGGTTTTGGAATATACATAGAGGTAGTATATATGGATCTAGTAAACGTTCAAGGCTCTGTTGGTTGAGAATATTTTATATTTATATTGCGTGTAGATATACACTAAAACATAATGTGTGTATATTTTGGTAAGGTTATCTCGCAAATAATATCTAGCGAATGACCCAGTTATGATAATGTTTGGATATACTTTTTACTTATCCGTCTGTATTATTAATACATAACTGATACCTCGATAAGGTGATAAGTCGATGTGTAAACAGAAATCTTTCTCAATAACTCAATTTTGTAGCTGTAAAAATTGCTTGGAATTTAACTCCTTTACACAATGCGTTGAAACTTGTGAGATTGAAAATATTTGACTGTTTTGTTTTATTTTATCTGTTTTATTTTATCTATAACAAATGTAGACATGTTATTTTTCCATATGTTAAGGAATATTATCTCACAATTTTCATTGTTTAATATCATCACAATTGTAAGCAAATTTTGAAGATTTCAATGCCCGAAAATGTCTTATTGTGTCCCTTTTCTAATTATACTACATGACCTTAGTGAATTTTTATATTCTTGTTTTTATTTTTGGTATTGGTATCAGTGTAAGCATAATAAACATTAGTAATAAAAAGATAAAAACAAAAATAAATTGGTCCACTGGACATATGTATGAGACAAAGAATAAAAAATATGAAGTTTTAACTAAAATTCTAAATATAAACTTGAAAATATAAAATTGAATTTCAGGACATAAAGTTTTCATATACACAAAGAAATCATATAAGTTTATCAATTTGTAAGTAGTAAGGTTAGCTTAATTTGGGGCTAGGTAGCGTCCGAAACTATTGTCAAACTTAACCGTATTCAAAAGTGCATTTTTATATTATATTTACCTTTATAAGTTTGGGTTCCATGGTATTCAGCAGTTGAGTAACAGACCTCGTAATAAACTAGTAATAATAAATGCAAGAAGAATAAATATTGACATATATTAGCGATATTTTTTAAGACACCCGATGTTTGTGATTCAGTCATACTTAGAATTAAACGTGTTCAGTTGAATCTTTGGCTCTACATATATGGGTACATAATTGTGGGTGTATGAGAAAGATGCATATTCCGACGCAGATATTTTGTTTCGTGCCCATGTACTGCCATTTTACATTTCATTAGTTGATAATATATATCTTTTAAACAAGAGCAAATATTTCATTTTATTTGTAATGGACAAAACAAAACACTTGTTTGTGAAATTGTTTTTTCAGTTATAAATTTAAAAATATATCCCACGGTATTCTCAAATTTCGTCTATTTCATCTTATATGTATGTTGCAGAAATGTAAATATATCTATTTATAAAATACTCCAATCCTAATATATATAAGTGACATTGTTTGTTTGTTACCTTTTTACTCGTAAACTTTTAGTTCTCGTTGTTTTGACGGCCTTGGTGGTCTAGCGGTTTAGCACACCGCCTTGCTTCCGATTGCACGGGTTCGATTCTTAGCCAGGTACAAACATTTCTGTTATGTCATTGTGAGTATGATTGTTTGCATCGGTCTGGGTGGTTTCTTTCCAATATATATATGTATTATTTTTAATGCCTATGTTTATATCAGTTGTCTAGTACCCATAACATAAGCTCTGCTTAGTTTGGTACTAGATGGCGTTGTGTGAGAATTGTCCTGAAATATTATATGATAACAATAGATCCACTAGTGGCTGTACTAACAAACGCCTTACTTCCCTCGTCCCTTCCCCTCCTATAATCCTAATATTATATTACACTTCTATATCAATTGATAATAATGTTTAGAGCATTATATTGTTGGTGATTATTGATAATGCTTCCTAAAAATCTATTTATTTATCTTTACGATTATCACTAATTATGATTAGATTGCATTAAGCTTTTGTATGCAATAGTATGTTACAAATAATGACCAGTTCACCTAATTATTATATTACCCCTTCAATTACTATAGTAGTAGTTATTCTAGAAAAGTACAAAAACATAAACACTTATTCTGATATAAGTATATATAATAATATATCTTCTGTTACTATTAATATATGTAAATAAAATCGTAAGGGTCGTTAAGTATGTAACATTAACTCCCTTATTAATAATAAATTTAACTTCGGAACAATACGATTTTAAATATGACGGTGTTATTTGACTTTCAGCCTAATTAAAGAATATAAAAAAGTGATAAAACTCTTAACTACCCAAAATAAATTTATTAGACTTTTGATATTTTTATCAATTTACAGTGACCCGTTTCAACTTCTGGTGCTCAAATTTTGTGGATTATGTGTATATTAACATAATGCATAATATATAGTCTGTATGGAATACTGCAATTAACGATGAAAGAATTACACAAATCGGTTCAGTGATTACGAACTTTTGGGTTAATAAAATCCTATCTCTCTCTTTCTCTCTCTCTCTCCTTCTCTTTCTCTATAATATTAGTATAGACTAACGATTCAACGCAGCATGCGTGTGTGTGCAATTACCTGTATTGTATTGATCTCTTTTTTTTAATATAATATAGCCCATGTTAGTCAATGGCAATGTAAGTTTCTATAAGTTTATAACTCCATAAATATTTTTGATTTTTTGATTTAATACTATTTTAGATATATTGGTAGTTGGTAAAATTGTAAAACAATTTAAAATTTTCATTTAAGTAATATTATTTACTTGGCAAGTGTTGTCCTTAATTGGACACATTGGTACCAAATGTTGGAATGTAACCGTCTGCCAACTCTGTAAGGACATTGCACTGCATATTTATAGCAAATATACGTAATGGTCATATTACATCATTCGTTAACTTACGCATTTATTGTGGATGTTAATGATGGTATAACTCAAAATTTTTGTTCACAATCTTAGAATGTAAGTGTAAGTGATTTTCTTTTTCACCACCTATTGAATGTTATTTATAGAGATGGGTGGAGGAAGTCAGTAATTCATCAGTTTTTGTGTTTTTATGTAAAGTTTTAATTTACACAGCCAAAACCGAGGTAGAACACTTTTTTTTTACACAATTGTCCCCTAGCTGCTTTTACGTCTGGCTGAATTAGGCGAGGTACCTACTTAGACGAGTTTTTACAAAGTGTACATCTGCTAAATACTAAAATACTAACGACCTATTAAACTACAATATAGTCTACTTACAGGGTAGTCGTAAAGGTATACAAAGCCAAAAAACATGAGTATTCATAAAACTGAGTCACTGACACTAAAATGGAATATACATATATAATTTATACAATGTACCATATACCTAGTGGATTTTCATATCAAATTGATCGCAGCGCGCAGTTAGCATAAAGGATTTTTTACATGAATTATTTAGAAAAGCAGTTCAGTTTAATAAGTACTATCATATCCTTCCGGTTTGTCTTACCACTTGCTTACTCTTTATGTGGTATCCTACATAGGTATGAAGTACTCCCACACAAAAATATGTAAATGCACATAAAAAATACAGTTAACTAGATAAACTGACACGCGCTTGTCACATTTTCTCCGTTCTTGCTTCGTTGCAGCTCGGCTCCTATATATTTCCTATAATAATCCTCTATATATGGACTAAGTAACGCTAACAGTATTTTTTTAAATCAGTTCAGAAATTACCCCATACAATCTCGCAAACTTTAACTCTTTATTACATTAGCATAGATATTTATATGTTTATTTAACATGTAAACAGATTTTGATAGTTCTATTTGCAGTAGGACGATAACTCCCTTTTAGGGACCGTAAAAATTTATCACAATTTGGTAATCGGTTTTTTTTTATTTACAGACAATATATTTTAATAAAATGCTGCGGCCTCCAAGGTCGTCTTTATTTATCATATATGTATATATGACCTAGATATTGTATATCCTAAGCTATCGGTTATCATAGTATTACCAAATTCGTCATGGCTTCAACAATGACAATGAACGACTTCGTCATTTACTTTGATAGTGGAGTCATGTACTTTGGTCATTTTTAATATTATTTCACGAAAAAAAATTCATATGATGTTTACGTATAGTAACTAACAAATGTTCAAGACGATTGTTTAAAGAATCACAATCCTTACAATTTTGGCAACGTGACCAAAGAAGTAGGCGATTCTTCGTTAGTATTTTAGATCTCTGATAGGTATTATTTGCAATTAAATACAGTGTGTATTAAAGTTGAGTCTCCTTATTTTTGTTTAAAAAAATAATAGGAAAGGTAAAATCTTAAACAGGGTTTAATTGCGGTATAAATATCTGTTACAGCTCCTCTATGTTACTTAAGCAGATTTAAAAAGTGCAAACGTTTTGTCAAATTGAAAAACACATTATATTTCAAGTCATTGGAAAAAAATAATTATGTACATCATGACTGATTCAAAATTGACGGGAATGCGAAGAAATATATCGCGTTACATACCAAAAAGCGTCATGCGTATATTTTTTGTAGGTATAAATAAATTAAATTGTTTAGTATAATAATTTTGTCTGTCCAATATATAATAAGTAATTTGTACGACTTTTATATTCGCCCGCATAACATATTGATTATCAGGTCCGATGATCAGACCGTTGAACCATATTTCATTAAAACGACATAATTGTATGGCCCCAGGCTCATTTTTAAAACCAAAATAAACTAAACGTTCAATTAAATCATAAAATTTAATATATATCATTATAAATAGTTTGCTTTGCCTTTAAATATATACAATATTATAATGTATTTTCTATTTATATATTAGCTATTCCAAATTTATATTTTACTAGCTGTGACCGCGGTTTCACCCGCATGAAATTTATAGCCTATACATATGTTGTTCTGATGTATATGCTATATTACTGTAAAGTTTCATCAAAATCCGTTAAGTAGTTTTTGCGTGAAAGAGTAACAAATATATATCTATACTCACAAACTTTCGCGTTTATA